TAAACTCTTGACTAATGAACGCTGTGGGGCAGCCCGGATCATGTTTTTGTGTAGTAGCACCTTGGGTTCGGCGTTCCAAAGACACGATATGAATGCGAGGCACAGGCTCCGGAAATTTCGACCATCTGGAGCTCTAGGGTGCGACCTACGTCAGACCCCGCCACCTCTGCAACACGTTGCCCCGCACACAAAAGCCGGTTATTCGCGTGCTTTTAACAGAGGTGGACTGCGCTGTAGAGTGTGTTACGTTTTGACGGTGACCGTTTTTTTTTGTTTTAGAATCAATTACTAATTTCTCGCTGAGTACCAGATGGGACTTTTCTGCTGTCGTGCTTATCGCCTACGCATCTTCTCGACTTGCTTGTAACCGCTGATGGCAACACAGGTGCACGTTAAAGAACCCCAGGTGGTCGAAATTTCCGGAGCCCTCCACTACGGCGTCCCTCATAATCATGTGGTGGTTTCGGGACGAAAAACCTCACATATCAATCAATCAATCAATCAAACACAGATGGCGTCAAATGATAACAATATCGGTAATTTTTGGGTAACGAATCCACGACATGATTATGAAGGAAGCCGTTGGGGAGGGCTCCGGAAATTTCGCCGTCTGGTGTACTGTAACGTGCACTGAAATACCACTGTAAACAGGCCACTAGCGTTTTGCCCTCATCGAACGTCAAATGGATTGTCACTTGTCTCTGAATGCGTACTGGCAGAGCTGGGGCTACGTGGCGATATCTATGCCTGTCACAGCTGTTGCCACGCGCGTTGCTTCCACGTCCGTGTTTTCCGCTGAACGTAAGACGGAAATTGGTGCAAGATCTCGGTGATGGTCTTCTTTCTCAACTAACAGAAGCCTACCTAATCGAACTCGAACACGCAACACTTCGTACGCCTACGTATAGAGTTCGTTTCGGTCGTATAACCGCCGTTGATCGATTCGATGCGACGGGGCGCCGTTGTTAGGGAACGGATTTCAGTGCTAAGTTCGCCCAAGACGCGGAAGCGTGCTGTTGAAAACACAAGATTGCGAAAACGGTAGGTAATTCATGACCGCACACGCAAAGCCTGGTTCCGCCATGACAATAGTTTACGAAAGTGACAACGTGGGAAAGAAATGCACGGTATACTAGAAGGTACTGAGATAGTGTGTGGGCGGAATGGTGTGTGAAAGATATTTGGCAACTTCCTGTTATACGGCCTTAGTTAGCAACGCCAAGTTTGCACGAATGAAGCGGTTAATCATTTTGTTGCTGAACACATGCTAGCTCGAATAGAGCACGAGCCCATACGTTCGTGCGCGACACGTTGAAGACAGTAGCTACCCGCGAAGTCAGGTCCCTTAGACTCGAATCCAACACGCGAGGCTTTACCCGTCCCGTAGTGAGCAAGGAAAATGGCAATTTTCGCAAAGAAAACGCACAAGGCTCAGGCTTACCAATGGTGCCCAGTGAACTTGGAACCTATTTTAGGTGACCTTCAGAGCACTTAGTCAGCGGGAGGACGACGAAAACGCTCCCCCGATAACGCAAAGACGCGTCATCGGACGCGTCACGTGGCGTGACGTCATCAGTACAAACGCCGATGGAACTGACGGAAACTTTTTTTGGTAGTTTGGTTATTTTTTACGCCCACAGACTAAACAAAAATGCTCGACAATCGCTCCATTTAGAACCTACTTCCTGTCGGCGTTTTCGAGTGATTTCACGTCACTCGACTCGCTGACGTGTGCGTTGAACTGGCAGTTGACTTCGTATGCGCATGCCCAGACGCATACCGAAAAAGAAAGAAGAGGCCCTGAAAGAGACTTTGTTATTGAAGAACTTGCTGGCTCTTGGGTCCGAAAAAAAAACATGATATATTCACGAAGCGCATTGTAATAAAGGTGCAGGGGGGGGGGGGGGGGGATGAATTAATTCTGATTACTTGGGTTTATTTAACGCTCATCAAAATATAAGCACGCGATGACTTTCGAATATATCTCCATCTATGTGTGGCCGTAGGCAGGAGTCGAACACGCGTCCTCTAGCTGAGCTGCACAACACCTTGAAACCGCCAAACCCGCACGGTTGGCGTAGTTGGCAAAACAAGAACGTGCCGCATGACGTGGTGAGAATATGGGGCCTGGAACAAAGAAAATGAAACCCGTATGGCCGCTCGCTCGTCTTGGCGGTCTGGAAAGTAATACAACTCGCTTAAAGTGCCGCACAACAGCCAAGATAAGAAATGAGAGAATCCGCAGTCGACACACGGAACTCACGAACCGTGAAACGGGCCTCTGCGCGGCGTGCCCGGAAGGGTAATTCGGGGAGAGCGTTGGCTCGGCCGGCCTAGCGCCTTCCGGCTGTCTAGTAAAGCCTTTCCTTCCTTTTGCCTCGCGGCGAGTAAGAAGGCGTCCAAGGTCAAGGCTGTGTTAGTCTGTCCTGGAGTGATGGTAGTCGTGTGTACAGCCTCTCCCTACTACGGACGTCTGGGCCAGAGAGAGGGCGCGCCATTAGCATTCGGAGCGCCGCGTGGTGACGTTGCACGCGGCTGGGCTTACTTTGATGAGATAGCCTCGAGGCACCCTGTTAAGCTTTAAGAAGAATACTAAAGCACGAGAGAGGACAAAGAGGCAAACTTTATTCGGTGAAGTGAGCCCATGGCAGACGTCATAGACTGGTCTCGCCGCGACGTCACAGATTTCGACGGTGTCTGAAATGAACGTTTTGCTCTAAGGGCGATGGATAGTTACATGTTGATTTGAGTCATGCTATTAACGTAAGGCTCTTCAAAAAATGTAATCAAACGAAAGTTATCCGACGTACGAAGATAATAGTTTGAAATCAGTGACATCACACTTACGCTCAGGTTCTGATGATATTTCGCCGTGAAGTTCAAACACAAAACCATCGCCTTGGTCTCGCGCTTCTATTGAAGAACCTTGACTGGCAGTATTAACAAAACTAGAATACGCAACGATTTTTTTTACCGGTATAAATCAAGTCGGTTGACCTTAGTGTCTCTTTAAGCCTTAACCACGCAAAAAGCCACGCAATTATGTTTACCTGGCTCTTCAAAGTGCTTCTGTTCCGCGATACTCTTCGATGAACTCTTCATTTGTCTTGCTTGTTCTTTGACCTCTACTTTGACCTTGAGCTGTACTGCTAAGAATTGGTATGTTTATGTTTTCTTAAGCTCTTCACTTCCACCGCTATTATGCCGCTTTTTTAAAAAAGAAGCAACTGTCTTAAGTAACCAAGTTAGGTCGAACCTGACTTGAACGTCCTGCCTTTCGGTTAGGTAAAGACGCCTTTACTCCCAGCTCACGAGTTGCGGTTGCGAAACAAGAGCTGCTCGTCGACCGTTTCCTCAAAAGGAAAAGAAACGCAAAATATTGATGAGGAGAGAACGTGGGTTGCAACAAGAAAGAAAGAGAGAGCGATATATCTTTTTTTTTCTTCAACGTACAGAAAGTGAAAGGGACGAAGCAGAGGCACCTACGGCAAAGTGAGACCAGTTGGCTAAAGAAGTACAATATAATGAAAAAAGGAACAAAAGAAACACGCGAACACCATTTGTGAAGGTTATGCAAAATATCGCCGCACTATTTTTCTCCGAAGAGCACCTTTAGGATCCTTCTTTTTTTGAGCTTTTTGTCGTGAACGCCGTTGTAGTGCGAGCTCCTGGCCACCTCGTGTGAAGAAATGCTCAAGAGAGATAACTCACTCAATTCAGAGAAGAGCTCATAACTCGGTGGTCGTGAGTTTAGTAAGAATATGCTGATTTGCGACATTGTCTCAAAGAAACTAGCTTCACGCAGGAACGATCGTAGTCTCTGACGTATTCGTATGCTGCTCGAGTATGTTTCGCTGAGTGTGTGTGTTCTTCTCTTTGGTCCGTGTCGTTAGGTTATTCGTTGTCGAATGCTACCGAAGTAATGGATTGTCAAATTGCCAAGAAGGTCTATGCTCGTGTTCCTTTAATTTTTTTTCGTGGTCGCCCTTGCAAAAACTGGGAGGGATTGTTGTGCGATTTTTATCGCGTTTTTTTTTTTGCATAGCACTTATGGGGACACACCAGGAGGTAAATTTTGGCCGTTGCCGTCACATTACGTGTGAAGTCCAAATCGATAGCATCTCCCCTCACGTCGTATGTTTTTCTTTTCTACACTCATTGCGCCTTCTGCCAAAGTGTAAGGAACGTCGCGTTTGTATTTTACGATGTATAATTCGAATATCGCGTAAGGAGTAGCAGGTGCTCGAGATTCTATTCCTTCCAGAATGGCATAGTAACAGCAAAAGAACATCGACCGCAGTTAACAAATCGTCAAGGGTGGCAGAAAAGTTGTGGAGCAGTAATTAAGGACAAGCTTTCATTTTGTAGACTGAAAGTGGGTCAAGTGCTCCGCCTAATGCAGTACGCTTTTCATCTCTCCGATAACAGAAATACTGTCCCATATTCAACGGCCAGTGGTTCCACTAGAAGAGATGAATGTGGAAAGTATCTGATGCTTGATTTTGATTTAATTCAGCTCGGAAACAATTTTGTTCTAACACGAATTCATCGACGTAGTCGGTGAAGCTTTTAAGCGGAACTACTCGAACGAATATATTAGGGGTGGTACGAATAACTTTAGTTAACAATCAGGAGAAGTGCCACTTCTTAGGGCGACACTGTAGGCCGCTCCCACAGTTAGACCTAGCCTAACCGCCACATCGCAGGCTCTCTGGACAGCCCAGAGTTGATGCTGATATTCGGAATTCGTGAAAGCCGAGCTCCATTTCTGCTCTGTGAGGTCTTTATCCGCACGTATAACCAGGGGCACCTTCAAAGCACGTGCTCTAAATCGCACGTTTCCCCCTCAGTGAAACGTAACACAGTATACAATTTCTTTATCGAAGCCGCCTTGCTGAATACCTTGGTTGCAGGTCAAGTATGCGTTGTTTGTCCAGAGTAAAATTGTTTGTCCAGAGTAAAAATTGATAACGTCGCTTCCGTTTCTTTCGATTTCGCAGACATGAAAGACCGCGCAACGATTTCGGCGTTGGCCGGAGGCGAAGGATACCGATGCTGGCTATGACTGCAGGGGCAGCCTACCCGTCGCACCCTTCAGCCAATCACACTCTCCCTCTCCCCACCCACGTCTGAACCTACAGGTGAGTTAAATCAAGTACATCGAAATGAATTGAATTTATTGATGCAAAATACTTTACACAGTACCATATGGCTGAAAGTGCAATCGAATCTCTAGCGGAAGGCTATTTCGGATTCATACTAAAGTGGTCATGAAGAGAGACATGTCACTTATCATTAAAAAAGGAGGATACAAACACAAGTATTTTAGGAAAAAAGGATATAACACGTGGAAACCTACTTATAACATCAAGTTTTTGCAGAGTTTGGCGACTGTATCATTGGTATAAGCAGAAAAAAAAGAAAAAAAAGCACAAAGATGTGCATGATAGCGTATAAGAAGAGCATGACAAACATCACAGCAGTGAATGAACACATTAAAAAGAAATAGCGACATTAGGATACTGTGGGAAATAATTATGATATATGCATCTGAATAACATAACAGTACCGTATAAAGACAAAAAGAAGAGATATTGCTATTTCTGCATACACCTACACATACAAAAGTGTAATATAACAGTATGTAATATTCAATATATAAATACACAATAAATGTGACACTATCAGTTTTACGTGCCAAAACCGTAACCTCATGACGAGAGCTGTTGCAGAAGATGTGCTTGCTTTATGTATTCTTACAAGCCGCGATTTGCGCAAAGTTTCTTATCCTAATTAATCAAGTTATTTGGTTCTGTCCATTCGTAGAACTACATGGTGCATAAGTAGACGTTAGCAGAAAAAAAAGGCACAAGGAACCCAGGAATGTCACAATGAATTGACGAATATAAGTGCTTGTTCTGGTCTATCAATTGTGTCCTTACTGCAACTGTTCACGTGCAATTCGCACAACTTTTTTCAGTTCACATGTAAAGTTAACTAGACCAGCATTTAGTCTTTCTACAACTGTTTGTTCACTTACTACTGAATGCGGTAGCTAATTAAGAACAGCCAACCATATAAACAGATGGACAAATGAACTAGTCAACGAGGAAATTATCAATTTGTTAAGTAAAGCATAGCTTACGACAGGGCTAAAGACGGGCTCGAACAGAGAAGTTCACTACCAGCAAAACGTGTTACTCTCAGAAGAAGGTGTAAGGTGGCCGAAATGTGGTGGTGGTGTACACAGAAACAACGTAGCTGCTAGGGAACACGTTTGTTTGTTTGTTTGTTTGTTTGTTTGTTTGTTTGTTTGTTTGTTTGTTTGTTTGTTTGTTTCTGACTTCCTAACAAGAGCAACGGCACAGACCGAAGCAAAACATTCAGAATCACCTCGAGACCCAGTGCACCAACCGAAGCGAAAACAAGCACCAGCAGCTCAAGTATATCGGATGCGATCGATATAAATCAACCTCGCACCAAGCGGGACAGCGTCGGCCGCATCGATATCGCCAATCCGAACAGAAACCAGCTACGACAGACCCTGCGAGTCGCGTCAGTGTGAGTGCTCAGTCTGGCAGAACTTCGTTTCGGGGGTTTGGCGGGTAAGTCGCCAACGTCGAAAACGCGTTAGCACCTGTAGGACCTCCGGGTTTCGTTCGAAGCTGTATGAAGCTCGCGTAAACAACGTAGTCGATGAGAGATTGGAGTGGGAACACGTCAACGAGTTCCGGAAATGAAACGAGAGAGCAAAGTGAATGTCTGCTTCGCTGATCTTGGCTCCTTCATTTGTTCGCTTTCTCTCGTTTCTGCCTTGGTACTTCCTGCCGTATGCTTCCAAAAAATGCGAACATCTATAAAAAAAAAAATGAGCCATACCTGCCGCAGTGGCATGGTTCCTTGTGAGAAGCATTAGCAGCGTCGCGTTTCCATGCGCTGGCAACGCGAAGCAACATTATCTAAGATTGGCAAACATTGACCAACGTTTCGCCGGAGCTAGCCAACAGTAGTAAAGAGTTAGCCAATATTAGACAGTCCTAGGCAAGAAATCTTTATGTTCCATAAAGACATGGTTGAGTGTGCGAAACAATCACTGCCTCGTGTCGCCATGCAGCCGCAACACGACGCAGCCGTTACCAAAACTTGCCAACACTGGCCTCAGTTTTTCAACAGTAAGCCAGAATTACGACAGTGTTTGGTAGCTTTAGGTGGCGCTGTTAGTAAGTGTCCCGTGACCTCTCACTCCTCAAATCGATTTCGTTAATCACCTCGACATGAAGTTTCCGTTCAGAAGTGATATTTTCGGGTGCGCTCCGTGATGACGACTAACAGTTTTTATGACCTACACGTTTCTTTAATATAGTGATTATTTTGTTAAATTTTAAAATGTCGTCTTTGGGATTAACCGAAGACTACTTCCGAAACCCCTGTTCACTGTGTGTGGAATGCGTTGCAATAAATAAATTTCGTTGAATTATATGAAGATATACTAAATTAAGTTCATTAAGTATGTGAAACTCTGAAACACTTCAATATAGCACAGAGTCTTTCCGAAATGTCTTTTAATCATTAAAGAACACGTAAAAATAGACAAATAGAAGTATATGTATACAAAAACAGGGGAAACATCAACGCACCGGCATAACATGTACATCCCCCCTCCCAGATCACACAACGATTGTTTTAAGTTAAGTTTCTTTCCACGGGCGATCAGTGAGTGGAACAGGCTGCCGAATTCCACTGTCTTATCAGAATGTGTACCTTCTTTCTTGAAGGGCCTAAAGGATGTCGTGTATAAAGACGCATAGTTTATGTTTTGCTTATTCTATGTCCTCAAGAGCAGAGTGCTTTGGCTATTTCTTGTCATTCATTGTCATGTATAATAGAAGTTGTATAGGGAGTACCTATTTTTTGTATGTATATTGGTTTTTTTGCCACCCCTGTTATAGCCCAAATAGGGCTGACAGTATAATAAAATGAAATGAAATGAAAATGAGATGCTTGTCTGTACTCACGATGTTCACTAGAGGGAACCTGGGCACTGTGATCAGTCAGCGACCATGGAAGTGATGGGTAGTATACGGATTTGCCTAGTCTTGGTGCTTGCGGGCCTCTAGCGCAGTTGTGGCTTCGTTTTTTGCTGTGTTTTTGGTTTTGTTTCGAATGAAAGAACAGACGGTCATAAACTTCGCGAGACAATTTGAAATGGTGAGCCTAAAGAAATCAAGGTAGTGAAGTGAAACTGATTAACATTGGCTGATTTTCGTTCCGTGATAAAGCAACTTCAAGCCACCTAAAGCCAACGGAGACCGAAAGTACGAAAATTAAATAAATCTGTGAACTGTACCATCATTCACATGCTCGCTGGAGCGCGGCGCGTTGCAGCTCCCGTAGACACTAGCGCCAGAGTTACCTCTAGTGTACTTATAGGAAAATATATGTCTGTACCGACCTCCGACTTTCTGGAGTGGCTGACCCCGACTGTAAAACTGTTAACCATAACTACTTGCAAACACCTATCTTGCTAAAGTATCAACACTCGGACGCGTAGTCCATTTCAAACAGAGCGCCCACCAAAAACAGGTGCCATCAACTCTGGTCTTATACGAGGGTGTAATGAAAGGTGCAAGACACATGAACTCGCGGCCATTGCCTTCCACGGGTCCCAGTCTTCCGAGGGAGCCCCGCGTTATTCTCTTAGCGTCTGCACGCCACAGAGGCCGATGCAACGCGTCAAGCGATCGGCTCGAATTGGCTGACACAATGTTGCTCTTAAAGAACGAGCAACGTATTCGGACGTTAGGGAACCGAGCCCGATGGACGAGGTAGAACGGTACTGCAATGTTGGCTTGGCACCAGGTACAAACGGCTCCCGTCACGCCACGCCACGCCAACGGTCGTTACCGCCGCTTGTCTTTTCAGACATGCCCGCTTAGAGGCGCCTGCATACAACCGAGAGCAGACAGAGCCGTTTAGCTTGCACGAAGTGGTCGACGCGGAGAAGCAATAAACTTGGACGGGACAGAACGACCCAGCCATAAAAGGCTGTTTGCGGTCTTGTATCGACGAGGTGAAGATCGGTTTTCTTCGTGTTGTGTGTGGTTGGGCTGTGTGTGCATAAGCCCGAACAACTCGGCTATATCAAGAGGGTAAACTGATGCAGGAAAAAATGACATTGACGAAATATTTATGATGAGATTTTCTTTTTGTGCTGTTGGAAAGGAAGCTTGGTCGATGCGTGATGTGGCTTGTAATCGTTGAAGTGGGTGTATACGAATAGGAGACCGGCGCAGAGAAAAGAAGTATCCCAAGGACGGAGACCCTTGTGGTGTGTATTTGGTCAACAGGCCGGTGAGTGCACCACGTGCGTGGACATTGCATCTACGAAAAGAAGCCCATCAAGGTCTAGTCGTCAGATTCTCTGTTTCTTTTTATGAGATGTTCTTTTATAGCCTGTTTCGCCTACATTTTGTTAGATTATGCGATAAAGGTATTGACTTATAACGCAAATGAACGGTCTTCTTTACTAGCAAACTATCAGGTTGTGTTACCCACACTGCAAGACAATTGTATTATCACGGGCAGGAAAATGTCTGTGAACATAAGTTGAGCTTTTTTGGTTCTCTTAACATATAGCCCTGGGAGCACATAAAAACCACCTTTAGAGATAACTCATTGTATCCAAGAGGACACAAAGTGATACGATAATTCTTGCTGTCACTGGCCAATTTAACTAAGATTTAATAATTGAACTTTTCCGTGACTGTAGCAAACGGGCATGTTTGTATTGAAAAGTTGGAAGCAGTCGTGTTTCTACACATTTACACTTGGAAGAATTATTCTAGCATCTCTGTGCTCTGAAATATACCGCGACAAATTTTGATTGTACAGTGCAGGATACGCATTCAAGACAGCGAAGATCGGCGCAATGTTCCTCCCCGATGTGACGAACAGGCATAGCTTGGTATAACCAGTAGGTAGCAAAAGGGCAACCGTTATCATCTTTGTGAGTGCGTTCGACACGTTGTCAGATTAAACAACGCACGTAACTGTAGCCCGTCCCGTTGTGGCCTGTCGCTCTCACAGCATTATTAGTATAAGATGCTCAGCGTTCCAAAACTACAATATGATTTTGGGCCTA